TGGGTATCCTCCCAAAATAAATACATGCCAAAATCACTACAGTCTAAAACAACAAAGTTAACGGTCACGTGGGAAGCGAATACCCTGCATGTTCCCTTTATCCCTAAGTGGACTGGTCTGACAACATGCAAGTACAAAAACGCTGCATTGTTGCAATAGATGGAGTTTTTGATTAATCGGAAGATTTTTTTAATTAACATTTTGATATTAAACCAAGCTTAAATTCCGATTTTTTTTAATTGGCAACAACATCTAAATCTAAAATTAAAATCATTTCAAACTCGATAGATATAACATTTATTTTAAAAACAATTATCTACAAATGACGTTAGACATAACAAAAGGACGGTGATGGTATTACAGGGTCTGAATGCAAGTGACATTTACCGCCGCTGCAATGATCGTGTCCGTTCAATCCAATCGATTACGTAACGATCCAGATGTTTTTTTAGAATTAATTAAAACGAAAGTTGCTATTTTTAAGAAATTAAGAAACTTGAGAGTTTGCTTTTCATCAACGAACAAAAAATTATGATCAAATGGATTCGATTGTCGCGCCACGGCTTGCGAAACACTTGGTCGAATGGGTTCGACAGTAGCATTGAGTGCTTTAAGAGCTAGCCTTCAAAGTCGGCCTTAGCAATTTCGACTGACCTGCCCCTCTTTGGAACTCATGGTCTCCACAACATCAGTGAGGAATTTGGCTTTGTTTTTTCACAAAGTGTAGTGATTTTGGCATGTCGTGATGACTGCATGTAGCTGTCCTGGGAGACAACCAAACAAGGACGATGAAACATGCAGCCTAATGGAGATAAAGCCGGCACCTTGATGTCAGACGAGGCACTAATTAAAATGTCTATGTCTATTCTGATAACACCACCAGACCGTGAGAGTTAATCACAGCAGGACTAAATTACATATCACGTGTTAGATAACAGTTTGTGCCTGCATGCCCTTGCTTGGTGATGACGTTACCGCCTGGTATATGTAGCTGTGCCATCTTAGTTCATCAGTCCCAGACGAATTTGGCGATTCCGCGATCGCAGAAAGATTTGCAAATAAAACTTTCCGCACATTTGCAGGAACATTGCGGAATAATCCCCTTTTTTATCAGCCAATACACAATTTTTATTATTTTCAAGCTTTTCTGTCGAATTTTGCACTCGAATGAATGCTGCCCAAACATGCAACTCAAACATACAAATTATGAATCCTACAATGAAAAGAGAAATTAATAATTCCCACTTTTAAGCGTGATTGTTGTTTTATAACTACATAAAGTTGATATGTTAACTAAACCTAAGGAGACAAGTCCAAGAGATTACATTTTGCAAAAAAGTATAAAATAGTTTATGTTATTTCTTTACCGCAGAATTTACTGCAAAATTTGGTAATTTTAGCCGCATAATGTGATAGTTTTACCGCAGAATTTTGATGATTTTACCGCTGAATTCGCCCGGGACTGGGTTATCATGACTTCAGTAAGGCGCTTTAGTTGTGGTATCTGTATCGGAGGGAAACGCGTGTATTTATAGGCACGGGTCTTTCTACAATGGTAACTGATTATAACCAAATCTGTTCTCCGCAACATTTTCAAAGAGTTCACGTAAGGTGGTACTCTCCCCTCAAGTCGAGCTTGGTCGGTTTGGTCGTTCAAAGACTCCGTTTCAGGACAGAATATGTGAGCTTTGTCCTAAAAACTCTGTTGCAGATGAAACTCACTTTTAAATTAGCAGCTGCTCTAATTTACGTTCTGATCTTAGATATCATCTGTGGAAGGAAGCTATTTCTTTCTAGCCCTCATTCGTATACATGTCTCCCGCTGATCATATTGTCTTTCTCACGCGGAATAAGAGGCAGTTCAACCCCCAGCCGCACTGGTTTCACGAATTTTTGGACGTCGAAAACTCGCTGTATTGTAACACATGTATGTACATTTTATAGCGATCAGCCAGTCCGTCTGTCCGTCCGTCCGTAATCATTTCCTTTTCCGGGGCAGAACTCGAAAACAACTCAGTGTATTTGATCGAAACTTGGCATATCTATCGGTCACATATTGAAGTTGTGCCTTTTGCTATTTAGGAATTTTAGAAGTTTTTATTTTTTACGTTTCCATGGTAACAAGTTGGACTTAGGTTCAATAAGGGTGGTGTTCGTTTCCGGAGCGTAACTCAGAAACCGTTAAATAATTTCTTACAAAACTTTGCATGTCTATCAGGCTCATACTGAACTGGTGCCTTTTGCTATTTAGGAATTTTATAAATTGTTATTTTTTACATTTCCATGGCAACAAGTTGGATTTAAGTTTTAATATAGGGTGGGTTCACTAAGGGAGTATAACAAATAAACTGTTAAATATTTCCTTGCCAAACATTTCATGTCTATACATAAAGCACAAACTGAACTGGTGCCATTTGATATTAAGGAGTTTTAGAAATGTTTGTTTTAGAATTTCCATTGCAGCTATTTTGACATGGGGTAAGAGAAATGCTGGGTCAGTTACTTGGTTTGGGACCATAACGTGTTAAAACGGGCGGGGGATATAGATAACTTCGTTGACTATACGCTTGTTTAGTTATTGTTTCTTGTAATTTGTCATTTGTTTGCATAAAAATATGAATGCGACCATGGTGGACCTTTTGTGGGTAAACAATGTATGCTTCTTCAAGAACATTCAACTCTTGACTCATTACATACAGAATTGCACATTTACTTGTGGTGACTTTACAGACAGCTGCCGGTGGAATATGTCATCTTTCTGATGACTCTTGTTTAACTTGATTCTGTAACTATGAAATAACATCTCTGCCAACGGAGGATTTTAACTTTCAATTTTAATAATGTTTTTAAATAACCTTTTTAGGTCTCATAGGGCTATTAGCCGGGTGACTGGACTTTTATATTCGAGTATTTCGCCGTTCGAACGTAACTCGTATGTATTTATAGACACGTGACATCTGAACGAGCAATTTTAAAAATGGGCTCGTGTAGCGCTCATTAATATCCTAGCAACAGCAGCAACGGCATTGTGTGTGTCACAAACAATGTGCTCAGCAAATCTTTACTTCATCACCTGCCCCGGTTGCTCAGTGAGAAACAGTACTGAACATGATATATGTTGTTGCAGGTTCGATTTAAATCGTGGAATTTTCATATGGACAAATGCGAATTAATTGTTGTAGTTCAAAAGTAAACCCTCTAAACAGGTCTTACTTATGATTCAAAGTAAAACCTTAGGTCTTACTTGAAAGATGTAAAACCTCAAAGCAGGTCTTAATTATGATTCAGAGTAAAACCTTAGGTCTTACTTGATAGATGTAAAACCTCAAAGCAGGTCTTACTTATGATTCAAAGTAAAACCTTAGGTCTTACTTGAAAGATGTAAAACCTCAAAGCAGGTCTTACTTGAGAGATGTAAATCTTCAAAGCAGGTCTTACTTGAGAGATGTCAATCTTCAAAGCAGGTCTTACTTGAGAGATGTAAATCTTCAAAGCAGGTCTTACTTGAGAGATGTAAATCTTCAAAGCAGGTCTTACTCGAGAGATGTAAATCTTCAAAGCAGGTATTACTTAAGAGATGTAAATCTTCAAAGCAGGTCTTACTTGAGAGATGTAAAACCTCAACGCAGGTCTTACTTGAGAGATGTAAATCTTCAAAGCAGGTCTTACTTGAACGTGAACCCTACCTCTGTATATGCAAAGTCACTCCCTCCCCGATCACTCGATTGAGCCAAAGTACTTGCTCAAAGGAGACAAAACTCCATAGAACAAAGTGACGACGTCACCGGAGGCTTACAAACCGCGCTGTTTGTTTGTAGTTTAACGCCAAACTCACTAATATTCCAGCTGTATGATTTGAGCGATGGGGTAGCCTTGTGGTTAACGCGTTCGCTCGTCACGCCGAAGGCCTGGGTTCGATTCCTCACATGGGTACAATGTGTGAAGCTCATTTCTGATGTCCTCTGCAGTGATATTGCTGGAATATTGCTGAAAGCGGCGCCAAACACAACTCATTCACTCACTACATGACGAAGGTCTGTAAATAACCAAAGCTGGACCAGACAATCCAGTGATTGACATCATGAGCATCGATCTACGCAATTGAGAAACGATGACATGCGTCAACCAATTCAGCGAGCCTGACCACCCGATCCCGTTAGTCGCCTCTAAATTACAACAAGCATAGGCGGTCTTTGGACAATCAAGGGTTGTTCAAGGCCGATTCGAACCCAGATCTTCATAAGGTATGGTTCACCTTGTGCTAGGACGTACATATTGATGATTGTGTTGGTCAGCATTGCCACCGTATTTCACAAAGAATCCAATCGTTTGGAATCTACAGTCGACAATAAGTTACATGCGTCAACCAAGTCACGGCGAGCCTGATCAACCGATCCCGTTAGCCCTCTCTTACGACCAATTTTAACCCGGATATTTTAGGTACCTCTGATTTCATGCTCTCACTAAGCTGCAAGCTATTTGGATTACCTTTAGTATTTAGGTATACTGAATGACTACTTCAAACAAACACAAACATTGTTATGTATCACAGGGTACATTTGCCTTACGGGAAAGCGGATGTCAATACCTACTATATGATACAAGTTTGGCTAGCCTAGAGGTTAAAACATTCGCCCTTCACGCTGAAGGTCCGGCTTCGATGCCTCCCGTGGGTACACTATGTGAATGTGTTAATTTAACATTCGGTGATAATTGAAATCTCACGGAAAGGAGTGGTAAGTGTTGACGTTATGGCGGCAATACGTCCAACCTGACGTATGTAACTATTTGTTTGTAACACAATGAAATTGTGACCGTCACGCTGGAGGTCTGAGTTCGATTCATCACGTGGGTACAATATGTGAATGTGTTTATTTAACATTCGGTGATAATTGAGATCTCACGGAAAGGAGTGGTAAGTGTTGACGTTATGGCGGCAATACGTCCAACCTGACGTATGTATCTATTTGTTTGTAACACAATGAAATTGTATTTCGCAGCAACGCGGGTCCCCGGGATGGCTATACAAGTGGATGTGAAGGACCCCATATCATATTGAGGACTACAACGTTGTTGGTAAGTATTCATCTCTCTTCTCCCCCTGTTTTTGACAAAGTGATGAGGGGTGCAGGTGCAGGGGTGATGGTGATGATGATAATGGTGAGGATGGGGATCATGTTACGGGATAGTCAAAAAGAAAAATATCAAGGAGATTCCAGGTAAGGAGGTGAGGTGAAATTGGGTTTAACGTCGCGTCTAAGAGTATTGCACTCATATAGCGACGTGCATGCACTTGTGTGTGTGCCTGCTAGTACAAGTCCGGACCAATGCCGAGTTTAAAGTGCTTCCCGAAGAGATTCCATGCCGCAGTTTAACATGAATACCCCACTCAGACACAGTATACTGACTCCGAGCCGACTAGTTCTTGTCCTAGCCCCTTAATGCCGAGCGCCAGACAGGGTAACAACAAGTACCATCTTTTAACGTCTTTTGATATGACGCGGAAATTCCGATCTCGGGCGGACGCTCTACCACTTTACCACCAAGGCGGTCCTTGGTAAGGATAGGTGCCCGGCAAATTATGATGACGTAGGAGGCTGCAAAATAGAACGGGTCGTTGATATCATGTCATGGTTCCAGACGGGCGAAGATTTTTTCACATAATATGAATCAGTAGATCTTCTGGTCCAGACTCGATTATTCGAAGCCGCCGTCGAAAAACTGGAATGTGGCGTTTGACAACAAACAAAGTCACAATAGAGCAGTTTTAGGAATATTAGTAGTGATAATCAATTATTTGTGTGAGGGAGCGGTGCGTGTAAATCATGTTCTTTCTCAGTATGGAAACGGTAATGTTATACCCTGGTTGCGCTCTACTAACGTTAAGGTTTATGGATGTACCAATACTAGTAACCAGAGATCGATATGTAATTATTCTTTGTCCTAGAAATAGGTACGTACTTACTTCACTTCACGTTGGTTGTAACACTAAGTGTACGGCTCCGACACCGCTCAAGAGTAGGTCTTTAGATCGTTGTCGTTATCGAGTGACACCAATGTCGTTTCAGGATACCGCTCAGCCGGAATCTGTTTTCAACATGACACTCTTCGTAAATGACTTTGATTGAACACGCCAACGTTCACTCACCGGGAAATGAATACCCGGTAGCACGAGAGAACAGATTGATTGTTGAATCTCCGCTCCGTAATACTAGTTGAGGATGTGTACATGTATCCTCCCCGGGGAGTTGATCGCGACACCGAGTTGTTTCTGTATGCTATGCCTGGGGTAATGACTTACTGTAACATTGCGCCTCTGAGCAGCGTCGCCACGTTGTGACAGATACGTTGGAAGAACAGATATCTAAAACAGATTTCCTAATTACATCCTTCGCCTTAGGCTTTCATACGAGACCGTTCGTGAAGAATATGTCACATGTGCCAAATACAACCTGATGTATTACAGGGATTGTGGCAAGATGTTTATCAGATTATGAATCTCAACCGGAAGAGGGGGCACGGGTGGCCCAGTTGTCTAAGGCGCCGCGATTCGCTCTGCAGAGTTGCGTCCCTTGAACACGCCAGAAACCTATGATTGTGGGTTCGAATCCCGGTTCGCTCCGATTATGTTTCTAGGTTTGTCAGCACCATACCCGTGCTCGTGGATTTCACCGAAGTGGTAAACGTCTGAGACCTGCATCATTTCGGGCTTTCCTTCCACATTAAGCTGACACGCCGTGATATAACTGGAATACTATTAAAAGCGGCGTTAAACCAAACTCACTCACTCACTCACAACCGGAACATCACAATCTGTCAGGACTGTTATTTTCGGAGTGGGCAAGCGGTCAAAAGCGCCATGCGCTTAGATCGTATCCCGCCAGTGACCGGGTTGTTATTCAGCCTTGGGACCAACAATGTTTACAGGTCTTCAGGGTGTTGTCACTACCCCTAGTGTACAGTAGATTCACCCTGTGCACCCAAAAGAACACGCGTCCGTCGGTATGCGAAGAGATGGTGGAAACACGAATACGTTCATACACCCGAAACACAAGTGATCTCACCTGGCCAAGTGACTTAGTTCGAATGGGCCTCTGTTCACCAAGCAAGGAATGATTATCCGATGTGTGAAGCGCCCGCAGGAGATTGGGTTGTATACTCTCCAGGGAGCTGAAAATGATAACTGGAATGCAAACGAATCCACTAGGCTGGGAACAAATAAAACCGCATTCGAGCAGATACTAGTATCTGGATACCTGTGGTATACAATTGTATAATATACAAAAAAATACGTTGTAATCGCTTTCTTATAATGAAATAATGCTCTGGGGCGGTTTTCCGAGTATGCCTTGTGCAAAGGAGGCCCCGTGTGCAGGTGCATGACATTGCGACACATTATTGAGTGCATAAATTTCTTAAACGCCGCTTAGAATAGTATATGAGGCATATTTAGGGCTATCAGCTTGTATTGGTGAAGCTGTGCAGGTTCCCGACGTTTATCTATTTGGTTAAACCAAAGGGCACGGTGCTGCCAAACCCACAAATCATGTTCACGGCCAATCTTGGATTCGAACCACGATTATGGGTTTCTGACATTTCTGAGCGGCGCACAGAATAGTGCCGCCTTGTTCGACTGGACAACCCATGCCATTACAACACCTTGTCTACTACACCTGGCCCAGACATAGTCTGCGATTCCGCGACGGCAGAAAGATTAATGTTACCTACTGCACAACTGCAGAACAATCCCGGAATTTTCTTATTTATTAATCCATGAATTAATTTTAATAAATTTTTATAAACTTTTCTGTCGAAGTTTGCACCCGAATGATGCCCAAACATCAAACATGCGTTTTAAACATACGAACTATGAATCCTTCATGAAAGCAAAGTTTGAAATAAATCATTCCCACTTTTCAACATTCTTGTGGTATTATGACTTCAAACCCTGGGATGTTAAACGAAACCTGAAATGTCTTAATGCAAGAGATTAAATTGTTAAAGAACAAAATGAGTTTGTATTAAGTTTTGAGAGGGAAATCGTTATGTTTTACCGATGAATATACTTTAGCCGGATTGCTTTGGTTATTTTACCGCAGAAGTTTGGTAATATTAGCGCAGAATTTTGATTATTTTACCACAGAATTCGTCTGGGGCTGAATAAATTAATGTAATAAACAACAGAATTTTACGTATTTTTCTTAATTGATTTAAACTGGATATCACAGGGGTTATATCTTTATAATCATATTTAAAGTCCATGTAACGCGGACGTAGAAAAAGGCATGTAACAATGTCATTTCCGGTATATTATTGAACAAAAGTTTTCAATTGTCCTTCTCGAAAATCCGATTACCAAAGGCGTAATGACTGTAAAAAAATCTAGGAACTTTCTTAACGAAGAAACAGTTGGAAGCTAGTTGGAATAGAAAGATTTATCTTGAAGCAATCTGTCGAGATACTTGACAGGAATCCCATGAGATGAAAAGTATAAAAGGTCTTGTTGAGGAAACATTTGCAAGCGGATGTAGAAGCAACACAAGACGCAATTTATGACCGCATTACCAAGCGATCCAATCTCCGTATATGTTCGGGAGACATTCTGTTGGGCAAACTAAAACCTTTCTTTAGAGGACACTTCAAAACATGAAGATGTCAATGCACGCGAGCGGAAGGACGTTAAGCAGAACGATAGCTGGAGCAGACCATAAAATGAAATGATAAACCTATACCCGGAATGATAAGTGTACTTGTAGGAAGGAAGCGGAATTAAACCTGTCTTAACTGCAACAAAACTGACCTTGCCATTTAATGGTAATGCATTCATGTTGATAGTAAACCTCATCAAACCGACAGTTGAACTTTGGCTCGTTTGGTCCTTGCCCATAAAATAGTTGGCCGGAAGTCGTCTGCTCCCTGAAATGTTAGCGCTTCTCTTCTTCTCCACGCAATAGCTGCATTTTGTCAGTTTCCGGTTTCCTGTGATTAGTGAGTTTAGTGGTTTGTTACGTGTTTGGATTACGTGAGCACATCTCTAACCAATCGTGTCTGTTCTCATTTGGTTCTTGAAGACCCAACGCCCTGATGATAGAGTGATGTCCCTTTGTCACGTTCGATGCAGTCACATCAAACACAGTGATTCTATTTCATCACCAATCGTTGATTTGATTTCATCTATAAATACTCATTTTGTTGAGATAACCGTGATCAAATGAATGTCAAAGTGTTAAATTCAGAAACGTAAAACTTGACAGGTATTGCTTTTATTATGGTGTTTTATTTAAGTTCCCCATCCCCAGACTAAGAAAGTTACAGTTCGTTTAAGCAGTCGCATGAGGACAGAAATAAGGCAGTACGTCCGACATCATCCTTTCAGAGAGTGAGTATGGTTTTACGCTGCTTTTATCTATACTCCAGGGGCGGTCGGAAAGCCTAGTGGTTAAAGCGTTCGCTCGTCACGCCGAAGACCCGGGTTCGATTCCCGACATGGGTACAATGTGACAAGCCCATTTCTGGTGATCATGACCCCACTGTGATATTGCTGGAATATTGCTAAAAGCGGCCTTAAACCATACTCAATCACTCACTGGATAACTGTTCAAAAGCGGCGTTAAACCAACTCACGCACACTTCAAAGGACTTGCACAACTCTCGCATAACAACACATATCGGGGTGGCATGCTGTAGCCATGGTTTCACTGAAGGATGTTATATGGCTGGAATATTGCTAAAAGCGGCGTAAAACCATACTCACTCACTCACTCACTCACTATCAATCTATACTCCAGCAATATCACGGCAATGTCAATGACTTTGCAATGATGCAAATGTTTCACAATAACCACAGACAAAAGTTGAATCTTTAAATGAGCATTATATAGTAATGCAAGGTGAGACGTTTGTTGAAGTAAATGTGAAAAAAATCGCTTTCTCATAACGCCTCTTAATATTCCCGTTTTGTGTTTAAATCACGGCGTGTCTACTTAGTGTGCGAGGAAAGCCCGAAGTTATGCAGCTCACAGGCGCTTACGACATTGGTGAAACCCATGAGCAGGGGTATGGTGCTGACATACCAAGAAACATAATCGGGGTGAACCAGGAATCAAGCCCATGGCCACAGGTTTCTGGTGTGCCCATGGGTTGCAATATTCCAGCTATATGACGGCGGTCTGTCAATAATCGATGACATGCATCAACCAAGTCAGCGAGCCTGACCACCCGATCCCGTTAGTCGCCTTTTACGACAAGCATAGTCACCTTTTACGGCAAGCATGGGTTGCTGAAGACCTATTCTACCCCGGAATCTTCACGGGTCTGTGCCCATGGAAAGCAGCTCTACACAGCGACTGGGCCACCCGATCCCCCTTTCCTATAAGTACCTTCAAGAGAGATTATACTCCTCAATTTGTTGCCAACTCACTCACTCACTCACTCACTGAATCTCGCTCACAATATAAATCACTAGATTGTCTGGTCCAGATTCGATCACGTGCAGGGCGCCGTCATACAGATTGAATATTGCTGAGTGCGGCGATAACAACACACAAACAAACAAACAAACAAACACACACACACACACACACACAGACACACACACACACAGACACACACACAGACACACACACACAGACAGACACACACACAGACAGACACACAGACACACACACACACAAACACACACAGAGGTTGCCTTGGCATTGGCTTAAACATGTTGACCCTCTCTCGTAGCCCCGTTCCCTATTCTCAGCTGAAATAAGGTACATGCAACCTCAGAGCATTACATTGTTTTTAGATCTGCTCTCTTCATAAACTATAATATTTTCAATCACACAGCTCATTACCGTCAGTTTTGACAAATGGAAGTCTTGCATGTTCTTCGACAAGGTACCTGTGCTCTTTACAATCTGGTTCACTATTCTACAGACCATACCACACGGCCGCCAGTTCTTTTCTAGGATCTAAAGTCTTATCAATTAAAAAAACCCTGACATATTGATGAATGGGACCCTGAATAAATAATAACGTTTTAATATTTACATCTATGTCACTTGCGGTCGAAACGCAATCTAAAGATCGTGGTCGCAAATACAATAACCATGGTATTCGTTTCGTGTACTCGCGGCCGCTGATAACCTGCTCCATTCATTCGCTGCTGAAAATAATCATGGCTAAATTTGTATTATTGGATACTATCTTCTGATTTATTTACCTTAATCTTGTGATCGAGTACCGTCGATATCCTTCCAACTCAACGTTTGCTAAGACCGAGCGGTGCATGTTTAATTAAACTCGACTTGCAATCACAATCGTTAGGTTTTTTTCTCAGTACACACAGTATAAATAATGAAGACAAACATTTGTACAATGCATCATAAACTAAGTTAATGGTTCAGTTAAATTTGTTAAAATGTTTGGTTCGAATACATTATTAATTAAGTTATTTAATTTGTTAGCACTTGGTTGATTTGTGACAAAAACATGAACATGTGTATTGAAAATCTATAATTGTTGATGTTATTGTTAACTATCAAGCAATTAAAGAAGGGAGGTTTTCCTTGAGTATTAATGTCATCGGAAATCGCTACTGAATGAATTAAAGATGAACACTTTGACATGTACACTTTCAAAAAGTGAGAAAAATGATCCTTTAACAGACAAGGAAGTGCATGTTGCTGCATCTGATGATGATAATCAGAGTCAATATATATCACAATAGAAGAAATATTGATTTTCAATGTGTACAATGCTAATTTACACGCTTTGCTTATTATTGTGGATTCCTAATCGATGTTCCTTTCCCATAACATATTCTGAGGCACATTCGAAATTGACAATGAAATTCGCACTATTCAGAGCGCTTTGGATGCTGTTGACAATATTGACTCAGTCTGTGGTTGCTGCCGCAATGTCTCAAGACGTCGCCCGGCTTTGGCTAGTTGGTAGAAATGGTGTGTAATTGGTATAATCTGAAAACACGACAGTCAAGTTCTGATACAAGCATCTTCAATTTGCTCAGGTAGTTGGTCTAGACGCAGTAACTCTCTGATGGACACCGTCATGCATAACGAGGCCACCTGACAACGAGCATGACTTAGAGTGGAAGACGTCCAAGCTGTGTGTCATAGTTTACAATTGTGTCAGTCCCTTTGGAAACTTTAAGAATTACGTTAACGTTTGGATTTTACAGCAATGCATTTGGCCATACATCTTGGAGGCGAAGCGCAATTTCCTTTTCGTGCTATGTGTGGGCGAGGTTTTGATACTGAAAACCGACTCTCGCTGATGGAAGATAAGTCGTCATTGATTTCCAAATGTAACATCGTTTGGTAATTAGAACCATGGTATGACACTTCTATTCACTCTAGCAAATCAAATTGTGCTTGTAGCCTTGATGACTGCAGAAAATTGAACATGGTATCCTATTGGGTATTGTGTTTGCATTTGGGGAAAAAAACAAATATATTATAGATTCCCTCAACTGCGTTGAAGAATAGACTCAATACATAATTCAATTAGATTGTGTTTATTTCTTCATTACCACACTACAAAAGGATGTTTAATGGCTTTTAACTTTAGTTGTACTTGTGCAATTATAGGTACATGTTCCTCCGTCGAATGTAATGTGATAAGAGAGTACTTTATAACCAACTTTTCGGCAGAATCACGAGATATCCGGTTACTGTGTTTGTCACTTACCTGCCACTGATATGACGATCTCAGAGGATAATGTGTTCACGTCAGTATTTCAGAAGGATCACAATATATCTGACGAATATCCCGAACCATGTTAGTCCAGTTGTCGAATGAGTCGCGTTTCTTGTTGTTTGGTTGAAGGTTATCTGCTTGTTTACGAGGAACAAAATTCCGCGTTTTCCCCCGGTGAACAAATGACCTGCCTTTGCATGTGTTTGTGACGGGAGCCATCGGTTGGGCAGGAAACGCTCATCTGTTGGCGAACACCTGGTGTCGTCACTATTTGAAAGGCATTCATGAACACATGCTCATGATAAAATACAACGCTTACGATATGGTACAGTTGACTCTTCCTATTATTTGTTCGTTTGTTTGTTTGTTCTTTAACGCCGTACTCGGCAATATTCCAGCTATATGAGGTGGTATGAAAATAATCGAGTCTGGACCAGGCATTCCACTGATTAATATCATGAGCATCGATCCACAAAATTGGGATCGATGACATGTATCAACCAATTCAGCAAGCCTGACCCCCCGATCCTGTTAGTCGTCTCTTACGACAAGCTTAGTCGCCTTTTACAGCAAGCATGGGTTGGACTCTTCTTTTAGTAGGCATTTAGATTACATGCTGTTGTTGCTTTTATTTATGACCACAAGACTTAAAGTACCACATCTATCATTCTGCTCACACAGAAATAGGATATATACTCTGCAAAAAACAACGCAAAAGTGATTCAAGATGTATGTTTTAAATATCATATAAATAATCAACAGATGGTAATCGATTGTTCAAAATTGGCACACATCTTTGTCATATTGACCCAGATTCCATATGACACACATGGAACAGTAGCCTTTGAAGGTGAAGGTCATCTGTTCTCAATATCTTGTATGGTCACGGTTTGAGTCGAAAACTGACAGGCATCGTCGTCCCATGGAAGCCTTCAGATCCCAAACTGTGGCCTTGGGAATGATCACCCACTCTGCCTGCAGTGCTTGTGCCAACTGTCGGAGGTTCTGTGGTTGCTGCTGACGTGCTCGCAGTCGTTGATCCAGTGCATTGCATATATGTTCCAGTGGATTTAAATCTTGAGACTTGGGGGGTCATGGCAACATCTGGATGTTGAGATTCCGGAAAAAAGGCTGTTGCCGTATGAGGTCGGGCGTTCTCTTGTTATCATGACCGCGTGTTGTATTGTGGGAAGCACGTGTGGCCACAGAATTTGCTCAAAGTCTGTTTCACCAGTGAAGGAGATGTCTGCCCACATTATCACACAACCACCACCAAATCTGTCCACTTGCATGTAGTTTCGTGCATAACGTTCCCGCGACGTCTGTAAACACGACGTCTACCATCCGCACGGCGAAGCATAAAACGTGACTACTGAACCAAGCTTGCCTCCATCGCAGTTGTGGCCGTACTCTGTGAGTTTGACACCATTGACGTCGCAGCCGATGATTCAGGTCTGTTAAAATGACACCTCGAACTGGTCGTCTAGCGCGAATACCTTCAGTACGTAAACGGTTCCTCACTGTCTGGGCTGATAGCCTTCGCAATCACGGGATTACCGCAGTTGTTGAGGCGGACGTGGTGGTTCTTTCACTTAAGTGACGTATCCGTATCCATCGGTCCAATGCTCTGGGAGTGATACGTGGCCGACAATATCTGGGAAGGTCCGTGTTGTCCCGTGTGTCTGATAACGGTTCCACATTCTTTTGATGGTGCTTAGTGTGACGTGGAAAAACCTGGCTACTGCTGAAGGTGATTATCCTGTTTTCAGTCAGTCGATGGCGTTGTTGCGTTGGTCATTAGGAAGTCATGGCATGCTTTCGCTGTTCACTTGCTGTAAGATCATGATGGCATGCAAATGAAAAACCCAAGGGTTTTGTAGCCCAACAAGTGGTGTTGCACGTGCATGTCATGTTGGTGTTTCGACGCCAGGGTCACCCATACTTCTGTTTTGTAGATTAATCCATCATTTTCACCATTCATTTCCGCAGTACATCATTCTTACCTCTCCAACTAATCCTAATCTATTCAGAAATGACCAATTAATATTTTGTATTACATTTGTACGGCAATACTGTCAGATATTTACGATTTTACTACTTTTGCGGGTTTCTTTGCAGAGTAAATGTATTATCTCACCATATTACATTGACTTGAAAAGTTGCAAAATTAATGAATGAATTACAGCTCTGAATATTATTTTCTCATTGCAGCTCTCAAGTGGTAAACAAGATCTTTCACCATGGCAACCACTGGTACCCCCAACATGACCGCCAACACCACGGCAGTGATGGCGACCACGACGTTAGCTGTGTCTGTGCCAAACAAAGACGATGCTTCCGAGTTCGCAACTTCTCAAGCCACTTTAATCATCGTCATCATCATGTTAACACTATTCACAGTGTTCGGAGTCATTGGCAATGCGCTGGCGTTTTATATTTACTCTAAGAAACGGGACAAAACGACATCCAACGTGTTCATTCTGGCGTTAGCTGCAACAGACTTCGTCGTCTGTTTGGTGGTGGTACCATACACAATTGTCGCTGAATTGGTGGAATACGAATTCATATACGACATTCCGTGTAAGCTGTATATGTTTTGCATAACATCCAACGTTCCATTGTCGGCGTTCATTATGACGGCAATCGCCTTTGACCGCTACTGCTGCATCTGCCATCCGTTCTTGCACGTGCTGACCGTGCAACGTGCAAAACTCGCCTGCGTGGCGCTGACAATTCTAAGTTTTCTGTTGGGCGTCATTACTGCTTTGAATTTTGGAGTCTACCAAATCCAACAGTTTGGAGTTCCCCCTGAAGCGGCAGGCAATGGAACAAGCTTTAACGAAACATTAAATGAAACAGCCGTCTCAAGCCAGACGTATTACGACGTGATGAACGTCTCTCTCAACTATGACGTTACAAACAATACTGGATACCAACAATCCAATCAGACCGGGGAGGTTGAGACGCGGATAGTTTACATTGGCGTGTGTGTACCTGGCGCTATATTGCTTAGCATCAGTTTCACCCAGATTTACCAGAAGCTGTATGCTGGATCCTTTCTACTTTGTTTGGTAGCAGTGGCTATCCTGTATGCGCTTATCTATAGGTCAATCTTAGTAAGAAGGCGCTGGAGATCGAAGAGGAAGAGGATGAGCTGCTACACCAGCGTGAACGGCGTGGAGACGGCAGCAGAGGAGACTCAGTTGACGGCCATCAATGGAAACAACATTGTAACTGATGAAAAGAAGTCCAAACGTCCCTTCCAGAGCCGCCAAGCGGCCATAAGGGAGAAAACTCTGTATGCCAATATTAAGACCGCCGCTATGTTGTTTGTGGTAACCGTTGTATTTATTATTTCTTTCCTTCCGTCATGGCTGATGGGACTTCAGAGTATACCGTTCAACGTCATCGTGTACAACCTGTACTTTTTAAACAACGTCGCTAACCCAATAATCTATGCCTTCATGAACAGAGCATTCAGAGACGACTTGAGGGCGTTGATAAGAGGATGTAAATAGATTCATGGTCCAAACACTGTGCTCAACACACATACGAATCTTCATTATATCTGACTCTCGCAGTGGTGTGTGGTTTTCTGTTATGTTTGCGTTACTGACGATGTAGCGTTTCAACTTCGCTCAGATCTGGATCCACGGCGCAGTTGTATGAGTACAATTGTATCAGGGAAGTACAGGGGGGACAGTTGTATTTTATGACATGCGAAAAGAGTTCGATCCTGAATATTATTTTTTTCATAGAGACTAGGCATTTGCATATGTACATACAAAGCTTTTCTATAATAAAATCAATACATTTATTGTACATAAGTCATTAAGCCTGCTATTATCTTGTATCACCGATTTCAATCGGTGTTACAAATGAATTGACTAAACATGATTGTATAAACCATAGAATCATTGCCACAACTTTTTGTCTCAAGTAGCATCACTTTTACTTGTAGTATATTTCATTACTAGGGACATTTCTATTGTTTCATATCTATATTTTCCAAATAATGTTATTACAAAAAATGGAATTGTCACTAAATCTAACATCACATAGCCAGTATTTGACCCCTACCCTGGCTATGCCTGGTGTTCTGTTTAGTGTCATTCCGACCATTGTAAATACCGTGAAATGAAAATGCATTCAGGGTGTGTAATATTATTGAAAACGATATGTTATTAGTGTCGTTTTAGACTCCTGTTTGTTTGTTTTTCAGTTGTATATCTATTTATTTATCCGATCAGGTGTGCAAATCACTGCAATAATTTTAGTTTTATTCTTTATACTTGAGTTGTGATAGTGCCACAATATCACAACTGTGTTTTTCGAATTGAATATACACATTATCCCATACTTGTTTCATATTTACGAATTATATTTCCTTAGAATTATGAAATCACAGATGAACTGTTCTGCTCTGTTATGTATATTTTGATATTTGAATGTACATTTACAAATTGTAAATAATTAGAAAAAATATAAGTATGGATTATAAGATAATACCGTTATCTAGTGTTTCTGTGATCATTAATGTACATTTCTTTAATATCACAGCTGATCATACGTGACGCGCACTGTTTATCTTGTTTCAAACACGGTGTTCGACATTTAAAGTATGCTGTGGAGTATCAGCCAATATGCAAAGAATTTTAATTTGGGGCCATAAACCATTGATTTTCCTTGATATGAAGAATTAACCGCTACATGAAATCTCAACTTCACTGTACTGGAGCGTGGTGCACTCAGACTAAATTTGGATCCAATTATCAGTTTGTCTCAGCTGAAATAACTGCATATCTATTTGATGGGCAGTAAATGGAATTAAGCAATAAAAACAACATCAAATTTGCACTGAATGTCAACGTGACGTCTGATATCGTTTAATCATTTGATTTACTCTCCGTTTGCGCAACGTCTTACTCATTGCTACTGATGTCACAAGTTCCGACGCCCATAAAATCCTTCCCAACTATGAGTCCGTTACTTGTATTAATGTACATATATTACACTATAATGACACTCCCGTTGATTTATACATTCTCTAATAGCCGTTAATGAATAAAAACGTTCTTTATCAAAACGGTTTAGCTTGATATACTTTTCTAATATAGACAAAGTAATTTTCGCAGAGAGGTGTCTGCACATAAATTCATTACAGAAGTCTTTATTCAAACATTTGCCTCATACAGTGTGTAAATTACTCATGCCATTAAGCCTCCAATGTGCTCAAAGGGATTAGTCTTACAGCTATCATCAACTTACAGACGTCCATTAGTCAACATTTAACACACCGAGAGAAAGTAATGTGTGCTATATATTTTATATGCTGCTGAATATACCCTAAATGAACATCGTATCTTTGATAGTGCGTGTATGCTCCTGGATTATGACCATGTGAGTCTCTATAATCAATTTTGTGATGTACGTTTGCCAATGTTGAGACGTGCGCCATGATGTTATGATGTATAAGTGTGCATCATATGGTGTTCAGATTCTGGCTAATCTTCGCACTGCTGTTAATGTCCACGAAGAAGCTGATACGACGAGGTTTTGTCCTTGATTTTCAGCTGATGAGGTAAAACTAATCAGAGACGCGTTCTTGTAAGTCAATCCTTAAGCAAAATAAGTTACGATGGGTTGTATTATTAGACTGCTTTGTAGTTCGACAACGTGACATGGTTCTTCCAAAATAGAAGACAAGAACGAAATCCGATTATAATCAGAAGGTTACACTGCGTACCAATTTCATTCAAGAGCATGCTCTGTTTGTCCTTTGTGTTGATTGGTCGATTCGGCTTTGAAATCATTACAGGAACTGTATTTGAAGAAAACAACTGAAACATGCAGCCTGGAATAATAAAATGAATTCAAATTATCTCGACTTTATTTTAACGGGATGAACTATTTAAGTGCATGATTAATAACATACGTGATTGATAACATGGTGTCTGCTGTCCCAACTGTTCGAGGGTAAGATAACGACAATCATTTTTTAGCTTTGAATATTTTGAAATATACTACTCCCATTTGTTAGGGATATTTTTTATCTTTTCATGATACACAAAGCTGATAATATGTCAAGTGCATATTTAAATAGAATGACATATCTGACTATCCCTATAAAATATGAGTTGTATAGTATACGTCTATGGTACATAGACATGACATTTTAATACCAAACATAGGCAAGCACAAGGCAATATTTTCACATGTATTAATATTTTGGAAAATTTAAAGCTAACTCTAGACTTCGTTGAGTGAGAAGCAAAATAATTAGTTTGTTATTTCATTGTTTACAAGAAACAGTGCATCACGTGTTATTCAGATTTTGTGGCCTGTGTTTTAGTCAAAGTTTGTTTGTTTGTTGTTCAACGCCGCACTCAGCAATATTCCAGCTACATGACGGCAGTTTTAGTCAAAGTGTCTCTACTTCATGACAGATGTGGGGGCTTCAGCAATACTTAGCCGTGTCATGAAGACATCTGCAGTGTCTCTCTAGGACCTAGAACCATACGTCCGTGGCTCCAATTATAGGAATCATCCGTTGATAATGTAACACACTGAGTGCTTTACTCGTTGGAAACCTTTGAGGAAGTCATTCATTGGTATGGTTAGCCTCTGATTATTGGACGCCAACGCGACCGGGTCATTTGCAAATGCCAATGGTATGAAACCGGTGAAATGTAAGAGACTGTCGCGGGTTCTCTGATTGCGTAGGAAATGGGTCTAATTGTGAGATAGCGCGCCACACCAGCAAAGTAATTCAATTACAATAGCAAGGAATTCGTAAATGTTTGTCTGCAATTGTTATCAAATTAAGTTTTAAGATTTAGCCAGCATTTATATTATGTTACCTAATATATCAACGTAATCGGAGCGAAATTGTTCCCAAAAATCTCAAGTTCTACATGATCTCATTCCTATTCAACACTGTAGCACTGGAAGATGAATAGCCAACTCGATTTACCAGTAATTAATGAAAACTAAAAAAGTAGCTAAACACAATCATGTCGAAAGTCCATAAAATATATCTTCATTGAAACGGACTTACAGGTTAGAAACATATACACAATTATTACTTAATTATATATCTAAAATCAGTTATTAACAATGAACGCTGAATTCGCATTGAGCGTTGTATTTAAAAACATGTTTTTAATCTTAGATATACACTCTAATTGCTATGGAATGAATATATTTTTGGAACATAGTTATGATTGGGCTAACACACGTTTCAGTGTGGTCGCATATGGGGAATATGTACGTTCGCTGAATCAGAACAAATTAGTGTCAGAATCGATTCTAGACTTGTAATTTCGAGTTTAAATGTAATTCATTGTTACTATGGCAACTGGGTTTGATCTGTCAGAAACAAGTGACAAACATGTTTAGTTAATGTAGCAAATTGATGAATGTTACGAGATCTTGGTTAAACGGTGTATACTTGGCCAATGTTTCACAAAGCAATTTTATGAGGGAGATGGCAGTAAAGCTAATTTTGAATTACAAACAAAGAATGCGGTAATATTAAAGCACTTTCTTGTCATGAAGGTCAAATCAACGTTTCCCCGTGAGTGAGTGAATGCTGTTTTACACCGCATCGATCCACGCATTCACTGCACGATGACGCAAAATCACCAGCCTTTCAAAGACTGACCATCGTTATTTGTTATAATCTACTGTCACCACTGTGACTGAGAAAAACTCCGGAACCACCAAAATGTTTAAAAAAGTAAGTACTGAATAAAGAAAACCTCTATGTATTAAAATGATCGGTAACAAAATTACATTCTGCAAGCGAGCATTGACCGTTAAACTGTTTTTTATTATGTTAAGCGAGCATTACTTCGTCCCATCACACAGTAGCTTTTGGGAATGTTTATTCGTGGAGGCTTGTGTGTGACAATATTAACTGCACGTCTGTCAATGTTTTTGTTGCCTGTAATGTATTGTGTATGCGCGTTTACCGGACACAAATTGTGATTTGCTACAACACTTGAATAAATCTTGTTGATTTATAAAGACAGTGTATTTGTTCCTATGTTTTGTGATCGCAGTGCATTGTGGTGTACAATTATCCCAGTACACAACCCGGATCGGGTACTGTTTGGTCATTGGAAACTTGTGGATCATCAGGCGCAATTACTCATGTTAGTGACGTAAACGGGATTGTGAATGTCGAGTTATTCATATTATGCAACATTATAAGATCAGTAATACTGAAATGTCGATATATTGTCATGCTAAATTCCATCTATTTCCCCGGAGAAGAGGATAACGCATGTCAAAGCCCAATGTTCGGTTTATAAAAGTATACATGGCGCTGGTTCGTGGGAAACAAAAACGTGGACAGGGTGGCCTGATCAATCTGCAGTTCGATTATCTTTCCGCAGGTGTACCAGGATCTTATGATTGTATCGAGTCCTAGATTCGCCCTATTTTGATTCTTGGTTTGTCAGCACCATACATGGGCTCGTTGGTGTCACTATGGTGGTGAACGTAAGCTGACACACAGTGATACAAGTGAAATACTGTTGAAAAGACTAACTCAGTAACTCACTGTCAGTCACTGTCATACACACAAATACAAAATGTTCTCCATTTACGTCATGCATTGGGACTGTTAAGTCTGAAACCCCTTCTTCTGGACATTCCGTCTCCATGAACAAACGTATCTATACACCTCGCCATAAATATCGCACCACATATTTTAAAGTAAAAGTAAAAAATATAAGTTTCAGTTTTTTAAACTACTCTGAACATAATATCACAAACACACCCTTTTCCGAGCTGCACGTGCACGAGCTAAAATGTGGTTTGAGGCATAAATTAAGCTTTATTTTGACCAACCAGTTACATGCCAAAGCGTCCAGTGCCCCTAAACCAAAGATGGCAAATTATTCGTATGCACCAGACTGGTATGTCATGTCGTGCTATTGGAGCACAACTGAACATTAAACACACTGTCATGAGCAGGCTAATACGTAAGCAGTATCCAGTGAAGTGAAGGATGCACCGAGGTCTGGACGTCCCAGAAAAACCAATGACAGGGAAGATCGTGCTCTCGTACGTCAAGCCAGACGAAGCCCAAAGTCTACTTGTACACAGCTGCGACATGGATGGCATCAGTACAACAGAGTGTCCATCAGCACCATCAGACGACGCCTAAATTCTGCAGGATTGAGAGCCAGACGACCAATCAGACGTCCACTCCTCACAAATAAGCAACGCCATGCCCGTTTAGCCTGGTGCCAAGCACGTGCTCGCTGGAACCTGAGGATAGGAGAAGGATTTTTGCTGCATCATACAGACGGGAGGGCACGAGTTTGGGGGCAGAGAGGCACAGCATATGATCAGAGGAACATTCAAGCTGATGTTCCATTTGGGGGTGGATCCGTCATGGTGTGGGGGTGTTGTTCCTACGATTGTAAACTTGACCTCATCACAGTTCCGGGAACACTGAATGGACAGAGATACCAGAACTAGATACTGGACGGTGCTGTTGTGCCTCATTTCGATAACCATGCTCTCGCCACACGTCCAGTCTTCGTGGACGATAATGCCAGACCACATCGTGCTCGAGCTGTTGTTCAGCATCTCCAACACAACGCCATTGAGACACTACCCTGGCCTGCCAGAAGTCCAGACATTAATCCTATTGAGCCTTTGTGGGACATTTTGGGACGTAGTGTGAGAGCAAGGGATCCTCCAGTTCAGAACCTTCAGGAATTGACCCATGCATTGCATGATGAGTAGCAGCAGATCCCCCAACAGAGAATCAGACGTCTGGTGACCAGCATGTTATCCAAGTGCGAGGCGGTTACACCAGATACTGAGTTAGCCAGTCATTGTGGACCTTACTAGTGACATTAATGAAATGTAAACTGTGTTGTGTGTCTGTTGTAAAGACTCCGGCAGCCATACTTATTTCACCTTATTTCACGGTGATTTTAGTGAACTTTAGTTTGTTACAATTAAACCCTCAGTTAGTGCTCAAATTCGGTCTTGTGTTGTCAATTTTCTGACTGAACGCTCACATGAGGCCATATAGACAGTTTAATGTGCTTTTCAAAGCACCATTTTTATGAGGTTTTATGAGGTTTTACTTAGTGAAAAAAAAGTGGCTGGTGCGATATTTATGACGAGGTGTATAGTTACAAAACTAATTTTCTAGATCTCACCTGCCTATATGAAGACCTGAAACCATCAAGAAAAATATATATATGCACACACACACACACACACACACACACACACACACACACACACACACACACACACACACACACACACACACACACACACACACACACACGTATATACAGAGCCACATATCTAGAAAATGAAAGCCAGAGAACGATTATTTTCGCCTATTTGTCAAATGCCTCCATTGTTCTGTTTGTTGTTTGGACTCAGGACGAAGTGATTCATGTCTCATCCATTGTCACAAATCGTTGCAAGAACCTTTCTGGTTCAGCTTCAAACAGATCATATTATCAAGAAACATGTTTTTAGTGCTTTCTTCTTCGGACACCAGAAACTTTGGAACTCAACGAGCTGATACTGTCTTCATTGCCAACGTGTCTGTGCTGCTGGAATGCGATAATGGAATGTAATAAACTAGCATTATCATCATTCGCCTGGCGGACATCTCTATTTCGTGGATTCTCCGCATCATTTCTGGTATTGTCGACGTCAGAGACCTTCCAGGACGGGGTAATTTTCAAAGCTCTCCCTGCCAAGCTTAAACGCAGCTGCCTACCTCTTAATGGTGACAAACGAAGGGAACCCTTCCCTTGTGGTCGTCGTGCTCATATCGTCACAGGTGGCTTTTGGTGTTCGGACCTTTTTCTGTAAGTACTTGATCACTGCACGTTCCTCAAGTTTGTCCACTTTCTAAAGGTCACAGACCACTACCTGTTTTACTAACTCAACCACGCAACAATTTGATCAATTGACTCGCATGATTGTGGATATACCTCCATACTCTCATGTTATGTCCCGAACAAAGGATTGCAGTATAGCGTATTTTCTTCTATATGTGAAGCTCAGAACTTATCAATCAACCCTCGTACCTATGGAATATCATAAATAAGTATATTTCCTACATTTTCGAGAAAAAATGTTTAAGTTTTAAACTCGTTCTTACAATTAACACATGTTAAAATTGTTTAGATTCTTAACATGTTATACATGTTTAGATCCTTAGCCTAAAGATAAGGAACTGAACATACTTTTGCTTCGTTTTGGATTAATAACGATTCAAAACAGGTATGGAGCTGAATATGTTCAACGTCTGTTTAATACATCAACACATATGTTATCATGTGCATGAATGTTATACCTGCTTGACTGATTATTGGTGCTGATACGGATCTGTCAAGCAAGCGGGTACTAACGTAACGAGGTAAGTTAATTTAAAGACTTATTCTGCAGAAACTAAGTTATGGTGACAGATAGCTTAGCCACACAACGTGCGATAGACCTTCACATTTACTATATTGTCACTTGATGAAATAACATCGTTGGACATGACTATACATAAATGAATTCACTCATACAGCAGTACGTTTGGGCGTTTTAAGGGAACTTGACGAGAGAGCGAAACCCTTCATCTGACGTGAATCGAACATATAATATCAGAACCTGTATTTATCAAGAGTGTTTCCTGTATTTATCAGGGGCTCGGGTGGCCCAGTCGTCTAAGGCGCCGCGCTTCGCTGTGCAGAGTTGCGTCCCTTTGCCACGCCAGAAACGTATGATTGTGGGTTCGAATCCCGGTTCGCCCTGATAATGTTCTAGGTTTTTCCGCACCATACCCGTGCTCGTGGGTTTCACCTGCATCACTCCGGGCTTTCCTCCCACATTAAGCTGACACGCTGTGATATAACTGTAATACTGTTAAAAGCGACGTTAAACCCAACTCACTCACTCATACTCCTGACGATCCCAACATAAAGTTCCTTATGCATAGAGGGTAACAAAAAACAGGCTGATGTTGATATCGCCCAAGAAACAACAAATTACTTGTGGCTGACGTGGTATAGGTCACCCTGAAAACTATCACCCTCATGTGCACCGCAATGAGATAATTATCTATGCTTGTGGTAGTACTGAGAGGATCTGGACAGCGGTTTGAGACAAACTTACCCAAGCAGGCCAAATAACCATGCAATAAGACCAGCTCCATTAAGATCTACTAGACGATAGCACGTTATTTAATCCCTCAGTCGAGATCTGGCCTGATCGGATACTTAAAGAGGCTTGCAAGCTTGGTCGATTTGTCAATATATGTCAGCTGCTGATGAAAAATTGGATGTTATCTCAGAACCGTGTTTAGAGTTTTGTGTTAGCGTGTGTAAATGTAATGATTTTTTACGAATAATGTGATAACCGTATCAAATGGTTTTAAGTAAAACTGTTATTAGTTGGCCGTAAAGTTGTTTTATTGGCAATGCGTAGTCGGACCTTTTTCAAATGAGGTATATATCCAACGAACGTTAACTTGCATGTACCTGGGCATAAAGTGTAATATTACATTATAATTCTAAGCCTCTAGATCAGAGTTTAACAAGAATTGTATTCCTTTATATGACCCGGTAATAATATATCAGTGGTTCTAATTTTATTCTGTGATTAAACGGGGATCGGGTGATTATAAATTAAATTTACATTATCTTGGCCGAAGACAAAACCTCACGGTCATTCACCCGAAATTAAATGTTATAAGTTTGCCTGAAAAGATGAAATAGGTTAAGAGTCCTGTTATATTTATTACAGAGAACTTTGAAATACTGTTACAAAACTTATCAGTTATGTTCAAATGGTTGATAACTAGCCATTTTGTCTTCAGTGCACTTAGAGGTGTTTATTTCCGACATGACCAAGAACACAAATATTGGGGTCAAAAGGTCATATTTTTTATATTCAAGAGATAACTCAACTTTTGGCCCTTGAGCCAAGATGATGTTTTACTATATATGGCTACTGTCCTCACCTACATCACTTTAGAATATCAGACT